TGTTTTCTCGTTTTATGTGGCAACTGTTGCTCGGGAAGTGTAAGTAATGTACATCATTTCATTGTTTACTAAGAAAGATCCGAGTGCAAAATCTGCACAGTCCTGCACGCCCTTCCACGTTACTTTGCAAAGCGAGCACATCATGCTGTTTACGCTCGAACGCCGAACACGATACAGGCAGAAAATTTGTTGGTGTAAGCATCATAAGATTCATCGTCAAGGTATCAAAAATTATGACTTTGAATGACATTGCCATACATTTGTTTCAAAGTTTTATGAACTACGGTTGTGTATTTGTTTTTGTGCGATAGTGGCCTACTTAGCTTTTTGCTGTGAATATAGTTTTACTGTTACTTGGTAATTGTATACTACGATGTTCCAGCGGATATATATTATTTTTTCAATAATCGCGGAAGGTTAAAAACGAATCCCCAAGTGCCATGTTTAAATATATACAGAAATTGTGGCCTTCATTCGAAAAGTTTAAACTATGTCCAAACATTTCCCGCGTGCAAGTTCCATTCTTTTAAGTCTATATGACAAATCGATATATGAAACAAAGTTGAGAAACTGCAAACGCGAAAAAAAAATTGAATTCGGTGTTGCAGTTTATATCATTCGAAGGTGTGTAACCACAGGTGGAAGCGATCCCATATTTAAAAAAAAAAAAAAAAATAGAGAATTTTATCACGTCACAACACGTATTTCGATCGACAAAAAACGTACTCGCACAGTTTCCAACTTCACAGTAGTCCGGTAAACACCTCCACACAGTCTAGAACACTCCGCCTTTTCCACACACACATAGGCACACGCAAGCGCTTAAGCCCGCCTTTCCAAACTGGCAGGGACTTAACGCCACGGCAAAAACTAGCAACACACTCCGCGACTCCCTGGCACGTGCACACGCTCCCTAACCACTCTCCCCACTAAACCGAGGAACAGCGTCTTTTTTCTCTTTCGCCCAAGACTCATCCGCTTAGATCCAGATTAACGCACAAGAAAGGACCTAAAAGCCATCTTAGTGTTTTTTGTTTTTTTTTCCATTTGACCGTCCCTCTTCGCGAAGCTTGGACCCTGAGCTCGAGCAGCTGACTCGAATCTTCTTGTCCTAACAAGGACCCAAGTCTCCTAAACTCCTTCTCGACGTAGCTCGGCAAACATCTAAGCCTACGGTCTCAGTAAGGCCAATCAGAGCGTCGAAAGGAGACACGTGGCTTTACGTTATGACGCTAGTTTCGAGCGGAGCTGAGAAGAGATTCGGGTTTGTAGTAGTAATTTTGAGTGACTGTGCTAACATTCTGCGGAGAAACAAGCGACATCCGCGACTCGCAAAAAAGAGGGTTTGGAAGAAAGTGGTGTTCCTCTTTCCCCTCTTCTCCAACTGCCGGGGTTACGCTGTCGCCTCTGAGTGTTTCGTCGTCACGTGTTCCTCCTTCCTTGTTCTGATTGGCTCCAAGGGGACATAACGTTCCCTCTTTGCCAAGTTACGGTGGCACGAAGTATACTCGCTGCAATGCTGCTCTGAATCAGGCAGCCACGGACTGCAGCCCGGACCTCACGTCCCCAGCCTTGTTGGTTTTTCCCTGAGTGTTGTCGGGGGGATGGGGGGGGGGGGGGGGGGGGGAGGGGAGGGGGGAAGGGCGGAGGTGGAACCGACTTTGTCCACCCCCCATTCTTCGCCGAGCTTCGCACCGGTAGGAGACCCAGCGTTTGTTAGTGGACGTCGTTCAGCAAATAAACGAGACATTCCGGAACCTTCTTTTACTTTTTTTGGCCCAGGTTCAGGAGTCCAGGCTTGTTCCGGACAATCTTTTTTGTCACAGTTGTTGTTGTGTTTGTGTGTGTCTGCGTGTTTTTTTTTTTTTTTTTTCGGGGAGTGGGGGAGAAGCGGAACTTCGTTTTCTCGGTTGATTTATTTTAGTATGATTTAAAGAGTATTTTTGGCTCCGCCTATTTGGCCGGATATGGGGCATTGGGAAGAGTATGTTGTAGTGCATTCGCGTGTTTCTGTGAGCGTTTTTGGCTAGGAAGCAAAGCCGACTTTAGTGTTTCTTTTTGTTTTTTTATATATACATGACGTTATTTTTTGTTTTCTGTTGCCTAGCTCGGAAATCCGAGAATGCTGTCCAACATATTGTGCACGCTACGAAAGCCCGAACTTCTGCAGGAGCATAGAACAGGCAGAAGTAACGTCGAGTTTCCCCAAATTGGCGTATAAATTAATCCTTACAAAACACCCAGTTAACTGGAACAATAGAAGATAAAGCGTAGACAAGTCAGGGAAGTGCGGTGGCTTGTCCCCATTTTTTGCTCGTCTCTTTTTTATTAATATAATTCTTGTAACATGCAGCCCAGCTATTAATTCTTTCTGCTTCCCGGGGTTAAAGAAAGACGGTTTATTTAGTTTATAAGTATGATAGTGAGACGTTATTACGACTGTCACTAATTGTCTGTCGTTTGAGAGGAATTAATTTTCATGGGTCAATTGTAATATGGACTTCACTCTCCACAAAATTTGTATTCTGGTACTTAGCAAACGGTTTTTTGAATGTGGGGCACATCGCCATCAGCTAAATGGCGTAATAAGCTTATAATCTAACAATAAAATTAAAGACACTTTTTTGCTACCAGCTCAAGTGCGCCGGAAGTGTCTGCCTCACCTTTGCATTTTCCATTTAAAATATTTGTTTTTCTCTCAACTCTAAGCATACCTTGAGAGTTATCGGGCACATAATGAACTAGTTTTGTTTCTACAATGTGTCAATAAAGTGTAGGGTTTAAGTAGCGAGAGCTGTCACCACTGTATGAGTACGCATAAAAAAAAAGGATCTTAAGAAACATATATCTCGTGCCTTCAAAGACCCTACTTTGGCTCGATTAAAATAAAAACTAAAAGTGCACAATAATTATTGAAAAATTTATCACCGCACTCAATCCTGCAATAATACTTAAAAAACAAGTGAGCTGGTGATGATGATGATGGTGATGAAAACACAACGTCTCAATCCTGATCAGTATAAATGTCGACGGCGTAGTAAGCCGTGTGAATTATCCAGACGCACAATTTGGCACTTCGTAATAAAACTGCTGTACACTAAACAGTAAACTAAGTTGACATTGTGTTGTGATGTGCGATTTGGGGACATGGATATACCAAAGAAAGCAAGTATATAAATCAACAGTCGGTTGCATGTTCGGTGAATTGATTTTTTTTCTCTTACCAATTACTCAGACTAAAACTTGTCATCGATTCGTCTGCGTTTCGTAGAGCGTTGCGCAATTTTACCCCTACATATAATTGAGGTTAGAGGGTCCCACGCCCATTTAGCAATATTCGATGGCCTATATACCGCCTTTTTTTTTTAATGACTATCTCCTCGTCAGGACGGTCTGGCGTCGCCCCTGGAGTCCATTGATTTTGAAATCAAAAGCAGAGGAGGCTCTTCGGAACATTCATTTTTGCTCGTTTTGAAATGTGGTCTCGGAAAGACGTTTGATCTTGCGCAAAAGAAAAACGTCTTTTGTTTTTGCTTTGGCATTGAAAGGCTTAATTAACGCTTATGTTCAATTGACATCCTCCTTGCACTGACGAGGTAAAATAAGGTTTGACTCATTTGTTTATTTGTGCTTTATACCTTTTCATTCAACCCACCAAATAAATTTACTTGTGCGGCCACGAGTTTATTATTTTTTTTTTTTGTAAGCATATGATGCGTTTTCGGTGTTCTCGGTGTAAACGTCTTTTTCTTTTTAATTCGGGGATCTTTTATTGACTGGGGGGGGGGGGGGGGGGGGGGAGTTGTTTGTTTCACAGATTTAGTGTTTTTTGTTTTTTTTTGTAATATGGTCAGAAATTAAACGGTTTACGCAAAGACACAGAATCTGCGCGCAATTGTTAACCCCCAAAGAAAACAACCTCCGAATTCGAAAGGAAAAATGCCGAAAGCATGAAACCTTACCTATAAATCAAAACAGGGGATTTGCGTTTTCTTAGTTCGAACACTGGTTAAAACACACTTCCGCTTTTGACTGCATAAACTGTATTAATTTCATTTTAAACAAAAAAAATTAGATCTTTTAGAAATTACACAAACAGAAAGCTTAAAAAATGCGCGGCTGTAAACCACCGTGTCTTTTCGCTGAGGCGGTTTTAACTATAGAACTGGTTATTGTGAGCAATGAGGGGGGGAAGGCAATTATTTGAATATGGAACATCGGCGACCACGGGTAGTCAAACTAACCTGTCTCGAGGACCATTTTCGGTCATATATTCGTGTAATTCACGCTATATTCCCTGATGAGAGCGATGGAGTGGAAACATAATTCTTATGGTGTCAATCTCTATAGTTTTTTTTTGTTTGTTTGTTTTTCAGTAAGCCTCTTGCTTTGAATGAAAGTGCCAAAGAAGATCATAGGATATAATAATTTACCTTTGACACGCTGTAATCTCATTGGCTGAGAAATAGTCAATCACATTTCAGCAGAACAGCCTCGGGTCTTATCACGACTTGGCTTTCTCAAGTTTCTCAAGCTGTCGACCACCATGAGACACTTCAAAAGTTCGCCATTGTAGCAAACGGCGCACTTGCACCTCTTGCGTAACAAATACCGACGCACTGCTACGCTAACTTCGGTCGTGGAGTCCCAACCTACGAGGCGTGGTCTGCCAACGAACGAGACCGAAGGCAAACATGGCGTTCCATTATTACAACCTTACAACTGAAATGTTGTTTCCTTCGACATATACACCCCTCCACTCTGCAAACCGTTGTGTGCAACCGGTGCACTCGTCAAAAACATTATGCGAGTCGTTATTGTTACACGTCATTTTCGAGTTATCATAATAGGCTATACAGAGTATGTTGTCAGGGATCATATGGTATGCGTTCGCGTGAGCGCCCCATTGCTTGACCGAGTTTGTAACGTGGCGAAGCGCAGCAGGGTGGTGGGTGTACGTCGCAGTTATCCTAAAGTTGTCTGTGCCCTTCGCTATCCAGGTGTCCTGGATCCGGCGCCGGGACCTCCACGTGCTGACGGTGGGGCGCTTCACGTACACGTCGGACCAGCGTTTCCAGACCATCCACATGGAGAACTCGGACTCGTGGATGCTGCAGATCCAGTACCCACAGAAGAAAGACGCCGGCGTCTACGAGTGCCAAGTCAGCACGCTGCCCAAGATCTCGCGCTTCGTCACCCTCAACGTTATCGGTACGCGGGATCCGCACTATCATTCACATGATGCCTGAAAGGCGTCTTCGACCGCTGTGTTTACCGCGTCCCAAAAAAAAGCTGTTCCTCGTATTTCCGCCTCATGACGTCACAAACGTGTTATGTTGTTAGTAATCACGTTGTTAGTAAACGTGCGAGTATTGGCCCAATATGAACGTCTTGTTAACCGAGAACAGCCTTCCAAAAAACGAACGGCGATTGAGCACACAGCGTCGAGTGTGGCACTCCATGTGTTCAGATTGAAGAAAAAAGACTTAAAGGAAAAAAAAAAAATCTCCGAAAAGCGGCGCAGTGGCTCAGCCCTCCTTTACCGCAAACCTCTTGGGACTCGTTGAAAATCTAGAAAGAGCTCAATGAATAAGTGGGCAAGAAATACGTTCAGGCACAAAACCACAGTTGGCGCTGTGACAATGAGCATAACCTCTCACCCGCTCACCTAATGCTTATTGCCGCAGCATAGGCTGTGTGTTCTTAAAGCATTTCGAGCACTAGGGCATATCCCAAACTGCAAAAAGTAAAAAAACTAACCCGATCGAAAGTTCTACCCAACTTTAATTTCAAACATACTGTAAACGATCTAATGTTTAGGAGGACCTATGTTTTGCCAATCTTGAGACTCGAATAATTTTGCAAAAAATAAATTCTGCGAATATATAACCTTTCTAACGAAAACATAGCAAGCCATTTCTAGTGGCGAAAGATTGTGCCGACGAAGTATTTCCGATCCAATCACTTCGCGAAGTTCGCGAAATATTGAACCCGAAAAAATCAACTCGTTCACAGTATTCAACTAAGAACGTGCCGTAGAAACATGCGTCCTTGTAAGCGAAGCGGTTTCTGAGGTTTATTATGATTTATTTCAACGTTATATTATTTTCTTTTTGCACGAAATGCTGAGAATACGAATCTGAGCTTCTCTCTCAAACTGGCAAAACACGACTATAGTCAAAAGCGTCATAAAGTGTAGGTGGCGCAAATGCACTTTTGGCCTTGTACAGTCCGACAAAAACGACTTTCGAGAGGTGAAACAGGCTCGAACCTGTTCGCAAACAGCACCGGTACATGCCTTGTTACGCGTCAGCCTTTATTCCCTCGTTCGAACTTTCGTACGCTGTCGTTCAAACTGTATAGGAAACATGTATTTTCCTCTGTTCTCTCTAGCCAGGTTGTCACTGTATGTCATTATAGGATGGAAAGTGTTTCTCCACGCGTCCTAATAGAATTGCAAATGCGTTTGCACAGAGCTTCCAGGGACCAAACGGGAAGCAGAACTTTTAGCGTAGCAGAACTCGCGAGCCGCGACAGTAAAACGTCAAACGCTTTAGATTCGCAAAAAAAGAAAAAAGAAAAGCACTTTGAGGTTTTTGTTTGATTTGGCGCTGGTTATCAAATAAACTGAAACTAACTGCTATTTTCATTGAGGGCTAATATATCAGCTGTGATGATTTTAACCCGAGACTGGGTCAGAAGGAAGAAAACTAGTTTTTACGTTAAAACATATTTTATTGAATCTAATCGGTGAGAAAAAGAAGCAGGGACAGACAACGACTCTTCAGAGACGTTGTCTGTCCATCCCGCTCTCTTGTGCACTGTAAATACGTTTTCCTCTATCTGCCCCAGTCTCGGGTTAAAATCATCACGAGAAACTTCCACCAGCTCGACTGCGCATTGACTGTAACTTAGAAAATTCGCTGTAATCTAGCAAACCGCTACCGTGCTTCATGTACCGCACAACCGGACGCTTTCTAACGTTCTTTTAAGCGCGCGCACGGGTAATGCCTTGACCGCGGGGCGCGCGATTAAAAGTATGTCTGAAAAGATTCGGTAGTGCGCTACGCGAAACACGTTAAAGGTTTCTGAAAGTTTTCAATATATCAGATACCTCTTATATCGGAGGGGTGCCTAACGCTTACCGATTACGTTTCTGTTTTGTTTTGTTTTTTGTCCAGGAAGTAACAGCAGTAACACTTTCAACATAAAACAAAAGTGGTGGCTACGTTTGTATTCATTAAATCCTAGTTGCGTTTAGAATATAAAGCCAAAACAAACATTGCCAGCAGCGTCGGAATTCTTTTTTTTTATTTATTTTTGCACAAAAGATAATGCTCCTAGTTGAGCAAAGACTTCACATGGTAAAATAAGTCCGCTTGTGTAAAAACAAAATAAAATATAAAGCGTTTCATTAAATATTTATTTAATTAATTAATTTGTTTATTTATTATTCGAGTATTTGTTTATTAATGAATTCATTCGTTCAATCATTATTTATTTATTAGCTGTACCCTTCCAAGCCTCTAACATCAATAAACCAGCCAAAAGCTCAACTCGCATAACTACCACTACCTGTCTGAATGGGATTTCTCATGCCTCGCTACCTCTTGTGTGCAGTGAGCAAGGCGAGCATTCCTGGTGGACCGACGCTCTACCTGAACAGCGGCAGCACGCTCAACCTGACCTGCGAGATCATGGAGAGCCCCATGGCGCCGGACTTTGTCTTCTGGTACCACAACGGACGGGTCATCAACTACGAGATCAACAACAGGGGCATCTCCATACACACCGAGAAGCTGCCCAAGACCCTGAGCAGGCTTCTCATCAGCAACGCTCAACCGCAAGACTCGGGAAACTATTCGTGCGTGCCGTCCAACGCCGAACCCGCCGACATCACTGTGCACGTGCTCAATGGTGAGCAGCCGGCAGCATTCTGGTCGCACGGGCCTGTTACCCCGAGCCACGATGATGATGGCGATCAGTACGACGTCGCGGAGCCTCACGGTTTGAATAGTTCAAACCTCGGCGTTAAGAGCGTTAGAAATGCGACTGGTCGACACGCTGATTCTGTACCAGGAGGCGAAGTCGTTGCGAAACATGAGAATGGGTTCGTCGGAGACAGAAACAGTTCTGGTACGTCTAGTTCTCAAGTCGCAACTAGCAACCCGAGAAATGTCACTGTTAATGTGCTCAATACACCGCCACTTAGTGATAGTTTTCCGTTAGCTGAGGACAAGTATCATGATTTGATTGAGGCGTCCGGCGGAAATAGCTCAGAGAAAGGAGTTTCCGGGGAAAGGTTAGGCGGTAATGATACCGGGTTGGTTCATATCGGTGCGCACGGTACGGGAACAGATGGCTTTATCGAGCTGTCAAATGATACAATCGGTGTTCAAAGGAATACCACAGCAGAAAGTGCTGAGGACATGCACGAGGAGGAAAACGCCACCCCAGTCATTTCCAATATCAACCAAACCGTCGACTCGGAATTCGGCGGCATTGCCGTCCCTAATAATACATTTAGAGCTTGGATGGTGAACACGCTCAAAGAGAATGGCATCAACCTGAGCACGATAGAAAGTCACACAAAGGGTCCTTCCTCAAATTTGGGGAATGATTGGGATCTGGGTGATGGCGGCAAGGAGAGCATCTCTGGACGACAGCGTTTCAGCCAGTTGTGCTCGAACGTTACGGACGCCAGGGTAGACGCCCTTTGCTCCCATGTCGCCATTCTAACTGATTTTGTTTCGACTTTGACCGGAGCGCTGCGTGATGTTCTGCTTGTTTTGAAGGCTTGCATGTCAGATTAGCGAGGATTTCCAACTTGCTCAAAGAAAGGAAATGATTTTCTTGTTTCCGGCGGTGACGTTGGAGGCTGCATTCTAAATTTGCGTATTTTGTTATGCGCTTAGCAATCTTACTCCAAGTTTTGGTTTCAAGTCTCCAATGACTACAAAACTTTAATTTCGAAGGGTTTAATGCTAACGTTTAGTAGAAATAATATAAGCTAAGAAAGAGCTCAATCAGCAAGTAGAGTTACATCTAGTATCTCAACTCGATAATTCTAACTGATCATTTAAAGCTACAAAAATGCTGAGGCTAAATATGCGTTGTCAGGATGAGGAAACTTTCGACGCATGTTGCCAAGCCTGGTGAAGCGTGCGTATTGGTCATGTTAACGTTTCGTTTATTTTACTTTTCTTTTATACTTTTGATGCTTGCTTTAGGTGCTCGTGCGTCTGTTGTGATGTAAGTTCTTTTTTTTTCTGCACTGTCTTTACGTTATGTTTCACGAAGTTCAAGTCTCTGTATTTCTGTTTCTGTCCAAATAGTTGCTTGCACCCAAAATGTTTTGCCTGCATTTTGTATACATGGTTTTTATTTGTCCACATGACTAACAGGTACGAACGTGTTTTGTTTATTTGTATACCAGTGACATTTGTTTCGCCATTGGCCTTTGCTGTCATTGTTTGTTTAGAAGTGCTTGAAACATCTATTTCTTTCATTACATGCATGCATGGCTTGCTATAGTTCGCTAATAAAAGAATAAAAAATACGTGTGTGTATGCATGTGAATTTTGGATGCATTCGGACGAATACTCAACAATAATTACAAACCTCGCAAACCAGTGTATGCCTTTTAAGAAAACTACAAATAACAAATCGAATAAATACATCAAATAGTTCCAAACGTCTACGTACTAACACAACAGTGAACCTTGTGCCCCATTGTGATTTTTGGACGTTGTTCTCATCGTAATCACTCTCCATGTAACTCAAAGTTACCACACCCACACCCACACCCAAACACACACACACACACACACACACACACACACACACACACACGCACGCACGCACGCACGCACGCACGTACGCGCACACTCACACACACAATGCTACTATAAAGTCGTCGACTTTCAACCAAGTTGGTGAACTCGGAAAGAAATGTTCACCAACATGGCCGTACACGACTTACTGGGAGTCGAATGTCGTTTTGTAACAACGCATTATACTTAGTTTGCTTCCAAGTGAGGAAGCGGGCAAAGGCTAGAAGACACGTAGAAAAAGATGCACAGACTGAGAACAGAAGCTCACTTCGCATCCACTGCGCTTTACTGGCTTAACGGGGGATAGCTCACCCACTGTAGGGCTCCAAACTCCGCGAGGTTTATGCATTTGGTGCTGCTTCACCGGCGCCATCGGTCCGTAGTTTCAACCTCGCTTTCAGTTTTGGTAAAATCACGGTCATGAACCTCGAGCTTGCAAGCGCAGTTAAAATACGACGGAAGGTGTCGGATGCGTGCGCCGGCAAGAAGCGCCCTGCCGTTTTCATCCACTCAGTGACGCTAAATGACTCGCCCTATGCTAATCGTACATTTTTGTTTACAAGACAAGTCTGCATGGGGAGCTGCGAAAGGTGCATGTTGCTGCATGATTTAAGGTAAATGTTTTCCGTCACCTCATTTTTCTGTTTTTGTTGCCATCGGTATATTTTAATGGGAAGCCATTCTCGCACTATAGAAAACGTTAGCAAATACCTTCGTTTTTTTTCGTTTTTTTCGGGGGAGGGCGGGGGGGGGGGGGGGGGGGAGAGAGATTAGGTTTAGTCAAAATATTTTTAATCGCAACTCAGTTTAATTAGGAACAAACTAAATAGAGAGAATCCTTAATTTTTTGCGTTCGTGTTAAAAGGAAGGTGAATAGGCTCGTCAGAAAAACGAGTTAGAGCTGGATTCTAGAGTATTTTTATACCATGAATCTGGATATCACTTCCGTTTTCCCCGAAAATGTAACTAAATGCGAAAAAACGGGGAAAAACTTCCGACCAGTTGTTGCGTCATACCAAGATCTTTCGGACTCCAACCGCGTGTCGCTCGTGTGGGCAGCCGAAGCAATTGAGAACTTGCCAGGTATATTCTCCCTCACCGACACCAGCCAAAACGTCTTTTTCTAAACTTTTTTCTTTTTTTTTTTTTGAAAATAGCAAGATAGCACGTGTTTTGATAGGCGCTGAAGATGAGCGAAAGCGGAGATTCCGAAAACTCTGGATATGGCGTCACGCTCCGGGAAGGAGGGGCTTCAGCGGTACCTTGAAGCTTACTTTCTGCAGCCTCTGTGAACCACATTGTAAAAATAATCCCGATATTCGCGATTCCGGAGGCCAAATGGAGACGATTTAAGCGTGTTTCCTCAAATACAGAACCGCTTTATTCTCCCTTGAACAACGCGCAATCTCCATTCAATTTCTTAAATATCATCCTGTAGTGAACTGCCGGCGGACGCTCCGAAACTACACAACCGATCCAACGCTGGTGGCGTGCCTCGTGAGATTTCTTTTTTTTTTTTTTTGGCGCAACAACGTGTAGAGCGCCAAGTCACGTGCCACATTCACCATGTCCGATTGGCTGGGGTTTGTTTGTAGCATCGGGTGCGGTTCCTCTTACGGTGACACAATATAGGCGTAATTTATCTTGAGAAATTTTTCCCAATTATGTTTATAAAGGGACAGAATATCGTCGCGAGGAATAGTGAGAGCTTAAAAGAGACAGGGCGTGGCTTAATTGGTCCACCGTTTTCGCTTTCAAATTCGTTATTGAACGTTCTTATCTGCAAACGTCGCGGTCTCAAAGGTTGTGGGGTGATAAGACGAGGCTGGGAGTGCTCGCCACTTTCCCTTGTTTCTTAAACTATCGATGTCTGTATAGAAATAAGCCATATAAGTTTAATCTGTATTTAAAACCACGAATTCGCTGGGTGTCATGAAGCAAAGAATGTTAACATTACGTTGTTTTTGTTGTTTTTTAGGGGAAAACCCGGCAGCCATGCAACACGGCAAGCACACATCGTCTGCCAGCTGCCGTAGCCCCGCATGCCTGACCACGCTTGCGGCCGCTGTGCTTCTCTTGGACGTGGCTCTGAGATGGCGGTGACATGCACACCCACTTCGAGCGTTCCGCCGCTGAATCACAAATCACCTTCGTCAAGACGCGCTCCTAAAAAAAAATGTTTTTTGTTGGGGTTGCATAGAAGTCCCCAACTGGTGCCGACATTCCGTGCACCGGTGTGATCGACTTGCAGTGAGTGGACCGCACACCTGCGCTCATGACGTCCTGAACCGGAACCACGTGACACGGGTGACCGGAAGCACCTGCCCGAAGACACGTGACCGCGACGCACGCGCGGGCCCGGAAACACGTCACGTGGCATTTGACGCTTCTGTCGCGGAATTCCTAGTTAGAAAGGATGAGTCGGTCCTTTACGGTCCTTCAAAAAAAAACTCTAGTCAGATCGTTTGCGTCGAAACGACCTTGGGTGACTTCAATGTGGATCGATGATCTTTGCGGTCTCCCCAGCCCGTGTAGTGGACTGAGGGAGAGCTCGTGCGTTTAGTGACTCGCCAGACTCTTTTGGGTGCACGGACTTCAAAGGTGGTGATCACAAAAGACAGTGACGGAGTTTGTGACGCCGTTGCGGTGTTGTAAGTTTGTTCTCGGGCGGTTTTTCTTTTTTTCTTTTTCGTCTTCTGTATATAGGAGGGAGGGATTGTTGAAGCGATGCTAGGATGCGACGTACTTGAGTGACTGTTGGAGCGAGACATACAAGAGCGTGAACAAAGTAACGCCTCCCGTTGGTTTTAGAAGGCGCGGAATAGTAGAACACCTCAACGGGATTTCCCAGGATCTTCAGATCACTGCTGTCAAACTTCACGGGTTCGTTTTTATCCCTAAACTAGTCTTGACGGCGCGAGCGCAGTTATATACCATTTATGTTACATTGTTAGTATATTCGATGACATGAAAAACGATACCAAATTATAATTTTTTAATGTATTTTATAGGGTACTGCTCTGACCGGAGTTTAGGCACGTCTATTGGGGTTGACCGTTTTATGATTGTAATACACTTACCTCTTGACCGTGAGGGAATTTTATGATTTGATTTCTTTTATATAATATTTGTACTTTATCTATAAAGTCCTTGCAGCGGTGTGGGGGGCACAGATGAGCGCGTGTCTTTATAACATGCTTTACACGCATTCATGTTTCAAGGAACAAACACATTTTGCAGGGAGACGCCTTGACCTTGGGCCTTTGACAGCGCTGCCTGTGACCTCTAAGATAAAGTATACAAGTGTACAGTGTATCGCAGCGTCAAATATATTTTAAATTTTGGTTTTAATATACAAGCCCCTTGGAGTTTCACTTTAATGACTGCTGGAGTTTCACTTAATGCTCGCTTAATTTTGCTCCCATTTTTTTCTTTGTGTACCTGGGCGTTATACTGGTTTTGTTATTACTGCCATAGTTACGTAAGTTTCGCAAATATTTATTGCCCTTTAACTTCGTAAATTAAAACTTTGAATTAAACTAATGGGTTTATAATTTTAATAAGATTGAAAACCGCAAAAAAGGCGCGAACCAAGAAGGGGCACCAACGATACAAGCGCCCGCTCGTGTCCTTTGTGCCTTTTGTGTCCCTGCCGTTTTTGAGCTTTTCAACATAATTTAGTTTGGTATGTATACTTTACGTGAACTTTTAAACATAAACCGGAGATTACGTGACATAAATTGTGTTGTAAGCACCTACGGGACACACACACAAACTAATTTCGAGAAAAAGAAAAAAAACAAAAACGTAGTGAACATTTCCCGTTTTACAACGTTGTTACTATCAACCCGACCACTTGACCGTTGTAAATAAAAGAAGTTTCTTTCATCGTTGTTTAACGTGGTTTTTTTTTTGTTTTTAAGGGGAGAAAACGGGACGTGCCCAGCTGCCACTTGCACCAAAAGTGGCTCACGTAAGTACCACGTATGTCGCCTGAACACTTCAAGAACAATCACTCTTTTATTCTGGTTTTACAGCACGACGAATGTTGAAGCAATCACATTTCACTCTTGGACGAAAATTGAACGAGAGTATATTGCTTACTAATTTATCGCTTTTCGTTTCTAAAAATGGTGAACAGTAAAAAAAAGTCTGATCACTGTGGCTACATAACGAACATGAGGTAATTATATGCTACAGTTGAAACAACTGATTTACCAAAAATCCAGTCCATCTTCACATCTGGGACGATAGCTGTTGTTTTATAGCAAAAACCATAACCCCCCTTTATTTATTTCTAAAACAATTTATATTGTTCCTTAATAAATAATAAATAAATATTAGTAAAACAAACGCCTGTTAATATTATATAAAAAATAAATAAAACCTTTGACTCCAGCGCGTAGATACTAGGAACTACAAAATGAAATGAAGCTGCGTGTTTTTAGCTCTGAGCTTCCTATGAGATAGAAAAACAATGTACTTTTTTTTCTTCAATTTTTAACTTCTTTTGCGTACTAACAAGCGCCTCCAACTGATTTGGATGTAGATAGCTACCCACATTTAGTATTTAAAAATCTGCTCACCAGAATATTTTTTTTTAATTTATGTCGTTATCAAGCGTGAAAATGTTGACTTACTTTACATTTTTGGTGTCTGAATTGTTCCACTAAAAGAATGTATTCCGAACTTCATTAAAAAAAAAAGGCGATATGCCCCGTAAAAATAAAAAAATGAAGAGAAATTGCTTAAGAAAGAAACGACCCCAAAGCAAGCCGGGAAAAAAAAACAAAAAACACCCTTTTCATTTCAACCAGTGAAATTTATCCCGCTTTGTAATTCTCTCTTTTCTTCTTAAGATTCTCCTTTCCACCAACCCTCCTGTGGCCTCCTTCTTCGACTCACAATTCCACAGATTCAACAATTTTTATGGAGCGAACGAAAACTCTCTCCTCTATCCATCTGAAACCCACGTGACCTGGTTACGTCGATCCAGGCTTGACACACATCGATCGCGCACCCTTCCGTCGGGTTACTGCCGCTACTGAATCCACGAGCGACGACAGCTCTCACTCCCTCAGACGTGCATTCGCTCGAGAGCGCTTGGTCGGGACGGTTGCCAGACCTTTCGGTGTTTCCGCCGCGAGGCAAACAGAAGGCGCTTCCAATAGCAAATTTGGACTCAAAATGTAAATTCCTTATTGTTCTTCAAAATGGAGGGGGGAAGAAGGAGAACCACGCGCGATGAAGTCATGTACACAGGCCTTGTATTCTATGTCGCATGGGCGCTCCGCGCCATCTCGGCAGCGAGCATGGCTTATCAACGCTCTCGGCGCAGCCCCTCCCTGGGGGGATTCCTCGTGGGACAGTGGGCTTTTCGTGGCGGGCTTATCGCGGAAGCCCTTCGAGGTGTCCTCAATCCGCAGTTATGAATATGCGCCTGTCCGCGTAGCTTCGTACAAGATGAAAAAACGAGCTCGTGTTCGTGGCTTCTGTTTTCTTCGAACACTCGCTCCCTACAACGAGAAAAAGATGCTGCCATGAATCTTTACAAAGACACGTAATTATGTCTTCTTGAAATATGCGCCACATTTGAAAAAGAAAAAAAAAACAAATACTAAAGAAAACACGAAGCTATGATTTTTTTTTTCTGAGGTATTGAAGGTATTTCTTTAATGTGATTTTAAGCATTAAGTACTAAAAGTACCAAAATAATTGCTTTTGTTTCCGTTCCAACTCTCAACATGCTAATTTACAAGAGATATTCAACAGTTGAAATAAAGTCAACTGATGTTTACGGGACGAAAAAGTGAGGGAGAGGAGGAAACGAGAGCGTGGGGACATCAGGACATCGAGCTCTGGTTGGAATGACTAGGCGTCGGAACTAGGAAACTATCTGCCTTCATCTTTCCTGCCCTCGTCAAGCGCGCTGGAACGCTGAACTCTGGCGAACCGACATTTTGCTCTCGCGTTCGAACGCCTTCGACGAGTGCAGTGGAGGCAATGGCGGCTAACTTTAGGTCTACCCACAAATCATTCGAACCAGAGATCGGTGTTTTGACGTCTCAGCATCTCGACGCGTGGGACGGATCTCTTGCAGCAGAGAGTGCAAGCCGGCAAATGCTTCGACCTCTGCTGTTCGGGCAATCCAGGCGACCCTCGAGACATGAGGCTCGTGCCAGTATATTAAACAGGACGACGCATAGATATCTTTTTGTTCGACGTCACGTTTCAACCTTTTCGCAACGGTAGTTGGCATTCACTTTTTATCGTTAGTGGATTGCGACTATGTAGAGCACGTAGTTGATGAAGAACTATCAGAATCTCTGCAGAAGAACCTTCTGCGATCAGCTCAAGCAATCGGTCGCGCGTTTAATCATCGTGCGCGCCACTGGAAAGTTAGAACTGTGCGTGATATGTATTAGAGTAGAATGATTTTAGGGTCTGGTTTCCAAGTCTAGAACGTTGTCAACAATTGTAACGAGCTCATAATGACACGAGCCTATGACGATCACGTGGTTAGTGCGACTACGAGACATGTTGTTACGTGGTCAGTCCCATCATGTGACGCCTCGCGAAGGCGACATCAAACTGTTACGTGACCGCGCAACTTGACGTTTCTGTCACGTAACATCGCGATGTAAGTGACGTTCGTGACGTGATCACGTGGTTGATGTCATGTAACAGCCATCTTCGACGCTTCGACACGTGACAGCCATCTTCGGCTGGTTTCTATTCTGAGTAATTTTGAATTTATACAAAAAGGTCTACGCGATTCAATGTTTACTATTACAACGCACCCATCATAATCAGTACCCAATCAGAGCATTACAAAACTCACACTGTGATTCTTTTTTTTCCCGTGCCCTGGCTTAAGCTTTAATTACAAGAGCTTGAAAATATATTTCTTCTTTTGGCATCGATGTGTTTCAGCGTTGATCAAATCAGAGACTAGCTCACTGAAGGTCCACGATAAGCGTTTTGTTTTTGGCTATACAAATTGGAAAAAAATAACTTAGTAAACCAGAAAAAGTAAAACAGCAGAAACGGCACTCATTATATGTGGCAGAAGCAGCACACATATTCAAAGCCTCGCGCGCTCCCAGCATTATATATACCCTCTTGCGCGTTACCGAAACACAAAACACTAAATAGCCTTCCTAAGGCCAAGAGCCACTAGTTCGACAAACCAAGTTTGACCCCGCAATTATAGCTGTAAGGGTTAAAAACAGCGCGCAAATATATTGGCACTATCAAAAGCAGAACACGGGGCGAAAAGTTCAGCTTCTTTGGTTTGTATGTGCATTTTTGCAGAGTGTTTCTTTGAGGTTAGTCATAAACCAGTAGCCCCCCTCGCCACTTTAATATAACTATACTCAGCGTCAACTTTCTTCTTCGCCGTTGTGAAGGGTATCGTCATTACCAATGTGCTGTATGCACTTTGTTAGCAAAGTTACTGTTACCAAGTTCCATGCTCCACTTCTTACCAAGTGGCATGGATGTTACCAAAGGGCACTGCAAGCGCAACCACGTGGCTTTACCTTGGGTCTCATTGGCAGATACTATCGTACGAAGAAGGCACCAAACCAAGCCACGCTTCCATTCCAGGAGTTTAATTTGCATTGCACATAAGCGCCGAAAAATCTCCGCTAACCCGAAAAACTTCACAAAAAAAAAAATTAACACCAAGTACGCTTTTTAGCGACATTAAATATCGTTCGTTGCACTGCCTATTTACAGAGGCGTTTTTGTTTTTCTGGCCAGCATTTTTACTTATCGGTTTCGATAGCACGATGGTGCCTTTTAAACACCTTTTAAGTCAAGCGGTTCCGGCATAAAATACGTACGGCGAGAAAAGAATACAACCTTTTAACCTGCAAAAGCAAAGAAAAAAGCATAGGTGACACAATAACAAGAACGCGCGACATGCACGCTTGAATAGTGAACATTGTTCAATTGCAAGATGAAAGTAAAACGATGTTTTCGCCCATTCTGGAAGTTTCGCGATTCAAGGTGGCGTCAGTCACGTCGGAAAGGTGTATAGATCGGGGCCCTCGGATTCATACACGAAACGAATAAAAAACAAAAAGTCTCCTCGTCACGGTGCAATCCAACAGAGCACCATTTCCTGCCGCCGAGCAGACCATTGACGGACGCCGAGCCGTTCGCTTCACGGCTGGGGCGAGCAGATAGACTCGATGCACGCACCGTGGAAGGCAACTCGCTCTTCGCACTGTAAAGCGCATTGTTCGACGCGGAGCCTCCCGAGTCGGGCCAGGTAAACAAACGCGCCGCCAGCACTCGAGCGAAGCACACCAGCGCCCACATGCGAACAGGGGTCCCGTGGGGAGCGAAGGGGGGGGGGGGGGGGGGGGGGGGCAGCCATTGTAGGGAAGCACTTTTGTCGGTCGCTCTGCTACGCTGCTGAGCCTCCCTTTGGCGCTAAGCTCTTCGAGTTGAGTTAGAGAGCCTAGATTTAAGAGAGGGAGAAACTCGGAATGACGAAGAGCGTTTGCAATTTAATGGCGGTCGCCTCTTCCGCAGATTGAGTGGAAGAGTGTTTCTGTTGCAACGTTGCGTGATACAGAAAATAAAAAAACAAAACAGAGGAGCGGAGAGGAGGATACGCTTAAGGAAGATCGCTGCGTTCATCATTTCTCTCAGCTCGTGCTGCAAAGCGCTGCCCGTAAATCACGTGATTCCGATCGGGCAGTTGGAAGGGACTCTTAAAACTAGGCACACTACGATGAGTGTGGCACTCGTAGAACCCGGGTTAGTGCCAGCGAGCCCCAGCTTCTACTTTAAAAAGAACAATGCATTTTGTTGTTGTTGTTGTAGCTGCGCTTGAGTTTGTTGTTGGGGAGGGATTTTAGAGCCGCGGTTCTACCTCCGCG